ACACTCGTTTTGTAACTAAACAGAGAATAAAGTGTTTAGAACCATAGTGACGTAAGTTCATCTTATTACGGGACTTACATCACTATGTGGTGTAAGTTTAGTGACAAATAAGTGTCGCCATCTTTGTATACACTTAATATTAGTGTATTTATTATTTTTACTAATAATCAAAATATTTAGAAATTATTAATAAAGTAAATCCATTTTAATTGTTATTTTACACTTATGTAATTATTTCACACTTTGTACACAGACATGTTTTAACGCTTTTTTTTAAGACTGATATATATATTAGGTCTACCGGAAAGTTCTGTCCGTTTTTGGAATAAAACAAAATACAAATTTTTCTTACCGTCAATAAACTTTATTAAATAATATAATTGCCATTGTTATTAATGATTTCTTGCCAGCGTGAGGGCAATTTGTATATCTCATTTTTGAAAAATTAAGAAAAATTTGTATTTTGTTTTATTCCAAAAACGGACAGAACTTTCCGGTAGACCTAATATATATGTTTTTGAAACTTTAATATGTCTCTGAAATTTTTTTTAAACAACAAACGCAAAATATCATATTTTGAGAAATGACACTCAAAATAGCTTAATCGTGACTTACATCACTATGATTCTCAACTCTTCATTTGTGTATTTTTATACAGTATATCAGTAGATTAAAACAAATTATATATTTCTGAAATTTGCGACGCTATTTTTGTTTCTTCGATCCCCGCACCATCGTCTCTCCGCCAAATTTCTTCTTTGTACTTCTTATTATTACTCCCGTCTTCATTTTATCGCGTGTTTCCCGCAAAAGGATTATTAACTGCACGCTTCGTAGCCCGGATTAACGGAAGAGGAATTATATCAAAACGGAAACGGAAACGGAAAGAATCGCTCCGTCACGAGAGAGACCACATTCTTATTTTTTTATTTCTAATAAAAATACTTGCCTCGGTACCACGCGGATATCTCTCGTATTGTTGTCTAACACAAAATTATTGAGAGAAATAATAGAATTATATTTTAATGATATACCTCTCGATTGTCTGCATTCAAAAATTTTTGTCAAATTATAATATATCAGTATACTTATTAGCTAGGCATTCTTTAGACAATTTTTCAGTCCGATTTCTAGAAAGGATATGTTTGCGATAAGCGTTGACCTCTGCAAATATACACGCATGTAAGAAGTAAGGGAGAGATGAGGGTTCAAGTAGGTAAAGGTCGCGGCGGATTTGGTCGTAAGCTGACGGAGCAGGAGCGATCCTCATCTAATCGCGTCCCTTAGTCTTGATTTAGGACGGGATTTTAATTACGAAGGGTCAGTAAGTGCGGCTGTCCACTTGGCGCAAGTATTTCTCCCTTATTTATAGTTCATTAGCTTGGCTTTTGCGTAGAAGGCAAATTAACTTACGTCTAACGATACGCCTCGCCTTTGTCTACCGAGAAAATAAAGACTTTTCTTTCATCGTTAAATTTTGCAACGCGCGCGATATAGCTTGATTATAAAATAAGATAAAAAACATATCCTTTTTGTGTTATATCATTATTATAATGTTGGCACGTTTATTGTTATATTTTTTTATGTATTAATAAAAAACAAATATATTTTTAATTAGATACAAGAAGTAATTGTGAAAGAGCGTGCATTTTTGAGCATCTACTTTTTAAAATTAAATGTTAATCTCAAACCCGGCATTTGCCCTCCTTCCTGGAGAGGTAAGTTTTTTCACAAATTTAAAATCTCTGGTTAACAAATTAAATCATACATCTATTCGTGAAAACTCTCTGTACAGTGAAACCTTTCTGTAAAACTTATAATTTTTGGGACGGAAAAATTGCTCCGCCTCCTCCCCTGCCCCTTAGAAAAAAATCCTGCGGACGCCCATGCCTCTGATAACTTCTCTACGATGTCAATTTTTTTAAATTCAGACTTCTTTAATTACTTTTTTTATGTACTTTACAATTGAGTTATTTCTTATAATTTATTAATTATACAAATTATACAAATATTTTTTTTATTTGTTAAAAACTAAGTTATATTTAACAAAAATAACTTATTTTGTGATAAAAATGTAATTTATAAAAGTTTGTAATATAAAACAATCTTAATAATCTCAAGATTATTTTTAGACTTGAGATTTTTTAATGCAAAACCGAATTGTTTAGCAACAAAAGAAAAATTAAATTTTATGATTGGTGAGATGTGATAAGAGTCGATAATATATATACTGTAGATAATATTGTACTTTATAATAAGCCGACACTCTCTCTTAGCTGAGAAAAAGCAACTTTCCTGAGAAATCAACGATAAGACGGTCTTGCAAGCTTTTCCGGTGGCGCTGGAAGTGGCTGGAAGAGCGATATCGTCCGCGCTGATAAAAAAAAAAAAAAAGCGTCAATTCTTCTACTTATTTTAGCCGCTCGTTGTTAATCTGTTATCTCGTACCGCCTAATGCAGTCGTCAGACGCAATCTTGTCGCAGTTGAATAATGTTTTATTAATGACTCCCTTTTAGGTCGAACCTAAAAGCCAGACGCCGCAGTCGGTTAAACTTTTGTTTAGCATAAAAATGTGAAAAGAATAATTATATCTAAAGTCATGTCTTGTCCAAAGTCATATATAGACACGAAATTTGTGTAAAACATATATCACGTGTGTGGATTATTGTATTTTCTACTTACGTTAAATTAAAAATAATCACACATACGTGCATACACAAGATTGTTGTTTATAAATTAAACAATAATGACATTTTGTGATTTTATTGAATCTATACGTGTTCTTTACGGAGTAATAAGTGCGTTCACTTTTAGATTTCTTATCATCTCTCTCGTCTTTTCATCACCTAGTTATCACTGATGAGGAAACGTTCGAAACAAGTTAATGTCTTAATTCTTGGATCGTTATTTCTTGTAACATACAAATAATGCGGTCGTGGTGGTTGCGGTCTCACGATTGATTGTAGCGCCGATTTTTGCGGCAATTCCAAACATTTCGCGTAGCGGATAGGCGCGAGCAATCGGTAAACTTACTCCCACATGCACAAGGAGCACACGTAAGAAGTTGTTCACCTGTGCATTCTTGTGAACGCGGCAAACCGCACCTACCTTCTCTATTGCGTTTTAGCAGACCACAATGCACAGTAGCATTGTGCGACCGCGATTTTTGGCGGATCTGGATATATACAAGTATATAACACGAAAATTAAAGAACTCTCTCTTCGACAAGTTATATGGAAGTTCGAAAACTTAAGACGCCCATCAATTTGCATTAGATAAATAAAATAAATTTGTTTTACACTATATGTTACATTATGTTTATATAGATGTGCAATATGTAATATGCAACACATTATATATTTATAAAATTTTTATGTGACATATATGTATACATACATATGAAGAGATAGATTGCTCGGTTCACACACAAATTGAACATTTGGACGTGCATTGCTAAAATTTGTATTGCCATTATACCAACAATGGCCGACTACCGTAGAACATCACTCACTTAGGTTAGTGTGTCCAGTGTTCTTGCAAGAAGAGATTCAAGCCTCTCTACGGCAAAGGAAAAGGGGTCGAGAGAAGGAGAAGGTGGAAAGCGGCGGAGACGCGAAGTAATGAAATCGCGGGGGTGGGGCGTGCGATGCATGATGCGGGAGAGTTTGACCCCACCACCTGCTTCCCCAACGGGAGGCTCCGCCTCCAGAAAGCTGAGTGACGTCACACGGACACTTGTTACGCCTTGCCGTTGCCTGATGGGATGTTGTGCGCTTGAGATTTTGCGAAAATCAGAAGAAATCGATTTATACACCGCACAATATATTGTATGTATATCTAGAACAAATCTTCTGTCTCGAAATATTATTTGATCTTGTAATAATAATCAAATCACAGATACAAATTATTCACTTTATATAAACTTGTACGTATATAAGTTAAATTTTTAATATTACAAATGTATACAAAATTATATACATATAAATAAAATTATATATATATATATATATAGATGAAAAGAACATATTTTCGATAAATGACATATTATTTTTTATTTTTTTTTTTGCAGTTCTCTCTTCTTTCTCAGTTATTATAAAATAAACAAAAATAATAAAATAAATAAAAAAAACCGTTCCGAGGTTACATTATGGTAGATACAATTATTAAGAGATACGTTCTCAGTTCGTATTATCGTCACATGACACGTTCTACCCCCACATCGCGTACTCGGCAAAGAAAGAGGAGGGGAAGAATCGCCCGAAGGCTGGGCCATCGCAGCTACCGAGAGGCTGGACCATCGTAGGAAATCACGTGATAACGTTGAGATTTTTCGTCGGCTAGTTCTCCTTTATCGACGAGAGAAGTGAACCCGAACGACGTCAAAAGCATTCTCAACCAATGCAAATTGAATCGACGACCGACGTATCGAAATCGACATCTTTCAATCAATCAACTCTTTGTCGGGACTCTTTGGTCTCAAAACCAGTTGCTTGAATACATTAATACACAATATAGAAATCACATTAGTCATTGTGTAGGAAAACGTGGAGTGCGCTGACACACGGGGAATCCCACGAATTCTAACATGTATCGCGATGCGTGTCACGTCTGCTGACGCGTAGTCTGACTGGTACGCGTACCACCAGAGTTTCTCTCGCGAAGTAACGGATCATCCGAGACCGGCGGACGGCAAAGATAGCTTGAAGAAAGGAAAAATTGTCGTTGAGACGAAAGAGGGTTTCACATTGTGAAGAGATCGCGATTCAGTTCGAAAAGTGGCGCGACGACGACAACTCGACGTGGGGCGGACGGCTTTGAGGCGCGCGTGGTGGGAGCGCTTGAGCGTAGCCCGTTCCAGCCGCCGAGGGGCGTCAGTTCGGGGGCAGAAGCGGTGGCGGGGGTCCAGAATCGCGGGGCTTAGGCCGTCCCGGGCCGCTTACGCGCGGAACACGCGGTCCGCCGAGCTGTTCCGCGCGGCATTACGTCGCGCACCGTCGACCGCGACTGACGTTCGTATGAGAGGATCGTCGACTGGATCGCGCATCATGACGCAGACGGTCGTCAGTTAGCGGGAAATGTTAAGAAGAAAGCGTATATATATGTAGGAAAAGTGCGCATTTGTCCGAGTGTGGTGCCATGACGTTATATTGAATTCGAGGAATCGACGTCTGGATCGTCATCGTAGCGACAACCTGTAGGAGTAGAGAGATTGTGACACACACAGATGATTTAGAGGCCGCTTTGGGTGATACCGTTGGCGTTTTAGAGAGAAAGTGTTTTAGATTTTGTTTTTAGAATATAATCTTATACACTGTGACAGAAAAAAGAAGTATGTTGTTGACAGTTCGACAGAAATGCTGCGGGATGTTGAGTGAAAACTGTTGATAGACGCGGTGCGACACAAATGTGAACTTGAAATCGGAGTCTTCGGAGTTATAACGCATCGCGCAAGAAGTGCAACGGTACATCGCGGGATCCAGTTGAAAACGGTTTGCAATGTCGATCATCGTGGAACAAAAGCGGAACGCGATTTCGCGGTATTAAGATTCCGATCTGGAACTATGACGATTTCGCGATCGATCATGAGAATCGATAAATTTGTCGATAAAAAGAAAGAACGAGCGATCTGTCACAAACGGGAAAAGACCTGTCGTCGGGAGTGCTGGTAGCAAGGCACGACGAAGTGTAAGTGAAATATCACGACGTTCCGGCCGGGGAGTGCGTGTTTGGGCGACGAGGGGCGGCTACTGGCCGATGGGATGCATCTACCGGTGGGTTCCGTGGGCTGCGGGGAGAATTACGGCACCGTTGGATCCCACGAAGGCGCCGGCCCGTGTGGTCCCTCCCTGGCGCCGTTGCAAAGTGTGAACAGTAGGTACCATCAGGTGGACAACGCCGACACCGGAGGTGGCGGTGGCGAGATGAGCGAGACCGCCGCCGTCGGCGAATTATGGTGGACCGAAAGACTCGTCGACGAGGCACAGGCCGAACATCCCGGAGAATTGGTCAGAACAGGTTCGAAAACTGACTCAGTACATATATATAAGCACACAATCACAATCAATTGTTAGTCAATTTTAATAACATTAACGTAAACAAAAAGTTATAAGTGTTTTTGTGTCGGTTGATTTGTAAAAAAAAGAAGAGAAAATAAAAAATAAGAAAGTTTAATTAAGAAGGTTTAATTAAGAAGGTTTAATTGATATCTGTTTTTTTTTTTAACATGACAGCGTCATATGACATGCCTAGACACGTAAACACATTTCTTGTATTTGTTATGTGTATCTGAAACTTTTTCAGAATTGTCTCAAATTATTGTTGAAAAAGCGATTAACAAAGTTGGAATTTTAATCAATTTTTCATCAATTGGATTAAAATTTAGATCACAAATAATCTTATCTTATTTTCTTTACATCACTCGTTCTACTTTTTGCGTTTGCAAATTATTACAACGATGTTTTTTGTGATAAAAAAAATTGTTGCAACTTTGTTTCCAGGATCCCCGTATTTTCTGTGCAGTCAACTTCCAACGCACTGGCGATCCAACAAAACGCTCCCGGTAGCATTCAAAGTGGTCGCTCTCGGCGAGGTTGGCGACGGGACTTTGGTGACGGTTCGCGCTGGTAATGACGAGAACTGTTGCGCAGAGCTGCGGAACTCTACCGCGTTGATGAAAAATCAAGTCGCGAAATTCAACGACCTTCGATTTGTCGGCAGAAGTGGCAGGGGTGAGTTCCTTCGAACATAACGTTTTTTTTTTTTTTTTTATTTATTCTTTTTTAATATTCAATCACATCTATTCGGGGAATTAAAAGGACAAGATTTCCCGTGTTAAACACATACATATTTAACATATTTCGTTTCGCGTTCGAAAGAAATGTGTGTTTGTGAAAGTGATGGTCTTATTAAAGTTTTCAATTATCCTCCCGAATGCAATCTACAATACCTTTGATCATATTGAAGTTCGTACGGGAGATTCGGAACGTTACTATGTGTATCAGGACGAGCAAAAGCGCGTGCCGCGATTTCCAGTCCTCTAAAATCACGGTTATTGTAATCATCATCATCGTGCCACCCTCGTTCATCCCCTGTGCGTCCCCCATCTCCGCGCGAGTTTCCGCTCTCCTGCCACCCCCCCCAGAGTCATTACTCGATGTCTGCCACAAGCCCCAACCGAGCATTCGAAACAACTGGCCGTTAATCAGAAATCATCCGACGAATATAGACGGATATGGACGAAGAGGATGACTTGCCAAAATCAACCAGCGCGCTCTCTCGATCGATGCTCTTGACTTGTTTAATTTTCGACCCTAATTTTCCGACAACCCTTGCGGCTCTTTCGCGCGCACATCAATTAATAAAAATATCAAAGCAACATTGATTAAACCGAGATTGAAAACAGAGCGCTACCGCAAAGCATTCTGCCAATTGACCGAGATAACAAAAATATCGGGAATATATATAAAAAAAAAAAGAGCAACAAAGAGCATTGAAAATTTTCACGGGAATCGTATATAGTTTGTGTCTTACAACAAACTGTTTATCATGTTGTGTTTGACCTGTTTGCATTATCGAGATATCGATTTCTCGGCGATGATAATTATTCATGGATCAGCAGGCGGCTTTATCAAAGCCTACAAATGCATTTTGCACCCCCCCTCCCGCTCCCCATGATCCGGAGGACGCGTTTATGAATTAACGGGCCGGACTGCTCGCGCGCGGCGGGATGTTCATCATCCCGTAACGCATCATCTATGTTTCATTTGATCTGATCGTGAAGTGCAGGGTCAGCTATTTTCATTCCTCTTGGCACGCACAGGTGCATCGAGATCTCCCGGAGTCAATTAGCGAAAGAGACACTTCCCGCCGCCCGAAATCCTTCGATCCCTTTGTCCATTTTTCAGCTCGTTGTTGTATTTTTTTTCGTTGTATTTTTTTTTTTTTTTTTTTTTTTAAAAAAGGTTTCAATCTCTCCCCGATAATCCATAATACTCAATTTCGGCGATTGACCAAACCGCCCTTGGCGTGTTGATACCAACCACCACCATCGGGCAACCCGGTCCCTCCTCCTCCTCCTCCTCCTCCTCCTCCTCTTCCTCCTCTGCCTCATCGAGGTTTTGTTTCCGCGACTTATTAATTTGATGGAATTGCATCGCATCCGCCGGCAAACTAAATCAAGAAATTGCAGCGGGGATTTTAAAACGGCGAGGCCACGAAAAATCGGTTGCTGCTTTCCTCGATTAAAAAGAGCGATCGCGGATCGTGCCGACGCGACGAGATTATTTTTCGCCGACTTCGTGTGAGTTGAGGGGGTATATGATATACCTCCCACGATTTTTCTCACCGCACAATTTTCTCCCTACATCCGATTGAAATTGCTTTTACACGTGTCTTCCTTGTTGTGTCGCGCTAAGGATTACGACTCCGATCACACCTCACGCTTTATTACCTCTAATCAGTCGACTATTAAAGTCGCGCGTAAAAAAGAAAATAACACGAAATAACCGCAAGTCATTTAGCGAGTTTCTTTTTATTAAAGTGTAGTATTATAAGCTCCGCAGGCGGCTTGTTGCGTTAAAAGTGCGTTTAGGTATCTTTTCGCATCTGGATCCTATATACTCTTGTATATATAGGATCTCGACAATTATCGCCTCTTGTACACTCGCAAGAGGGTTGTCTCAAAAACGCAATGTGGGCGGAAAGACGCGAGATATAGCAGTGTCGGATCAAAGAGGACCGGAGAACAACGACGACGATCGTTCCATCATCATCGTCATCATCATCATCATCATCATCATCATCATCGGGGGCTCGTAAGCGGCTCGTGCCTATAATTAGTAATATACCGCAGTCTATATCGACACGGCTGAAATTACCACCGATAGTAATTATTTGACAATTGCAGAGACATCCTGTTGGGAGACTCTGGGACCTCCGCGCTTCGTCCCTACCACCGACATATGCGTCTCTCTCTCTCTGCCCTCCTTCGCCCACCCCTTTTTAGCCTTTCTACCCCCGATGCGCTGCTGCTGCTGCTGCTGCTCGCTTAGCCCTACGCAACTTCGTCCCCTCCGCTCCTCGTCGCCACGAGTATTAACGGACGGTTTCGAGTGGTTTCAGGCGGTTGTGTGCGGGCGGTTTGGGCTGGCGCGCTCATCTCGGTCGTCGGTGTGTTGCCAACGCACCGACACGTACACACGCGTGCGGGGGAGAGATCCCGTGAGTAGTCGGAGCTGTGATGCTGTACGTTATATAGGTGCCACATACGCGCGTGGCCCGGTTTTGTCTGCCCGTCCGTCCGTTCGTCCGTTCGTCCGTCCGTCCGTCCGTCTGTCCGTTCGTTCGTCCATCCGTCCGTTCGCTCGTCCGCCCGTCCGTCCACCACCGTTTCGCGAATGCACAGGCCGGGTCCTGTCTCTGCAGATGACCGTTCCCATCATCGAGTATTAACCGCAGGTCCGGGTGCCGGAGAGGGGAATCGGCTGTGCGGCATTATTAGCCCCAAATGCGATGGACTCGACTAGGGGGGTAGGGGAAGAGGGGGTCCAGCGTAGCGCGCGCGCGACCCTTCCGATCGCGTCTGCCACCTCTTCCTCATCTCCCTCTCGACTTCGACAGATTTTCCGAGCGAGTGTCGTCGTCTTAACACTTGAAGATAATGCAAAAACGGGATTGCTAAAGGATTTTTTTTTGGCGCATAAAATTGAGGATTTTCCGACTTGTTCCGAAATTGGTATAACTTTATGTATGTCTAAAATAATTTTTTTTCTTTCTCAAAACTTCGATAGAATTTTTTCCTGCTTTGTTTCCGGTCCGGACAAGTTTTATTTCTTTTGTAACGAGTATGTGATAAAAATTTACTGTCTTTTTTTTTACATACCGAATTGCATTTCGTACATGTCTCGTCTCGCAAGAAATCGCATAAAAAGAATCACATTTTAATTAAAAAAAAAAAAAAACAAATAAATAAATAAAAAAAAAATAGAAAATACATGAATCGGAATCCCGACTGTACTTTGCGCGCGACAGATGCGAACGATGACGGTGGCAATGACGGCCGTGAGAGGTATCCTGGGACCACCGGGCGGAGGACACAACAGGGATGGCGGCGCGGGTTCTATCGCGGAAGAGCGGAGAGGAGTCACGATATAACTGGGATATAACGCCATGTAGCTCTGCAGTCAGTTGCAGCTCCCGGGGGGGGTGGCGCGGGGGTTGGCGGTGTTTGATGCCGGTTATCATGTTGACAGACACAGCGAGGTGGAACTGGGTGCACCAAGGGGAGACAATTACAAATCGTTGACATTTACGCCAACACAAACGATTGCATGTCCGCGGCGCGTTAGGTATCGTCTCTTTTGGGCGTAAACAGCAGTCTTGGTCGTGTTTCGTTTTCGTCATATTAGACAAGTTGACACTCGAGTGTTTTGAGAGAACGGATTCCCGCGAAATGGATGGCATATCGTACTCCGAATCGTTCTCGTCAAGTTATCGCCTGCTATGTCGGCTTTGCTGACGGGACTGCTCGTTTTCCGGTTCTCTTTGTGATCCGTGAGGCAGTATATAATGTTTCGCTTCAAAAACGCGCCCGAAAACTTCTCTCCGTTTCTAATTCGGGAGAACGTAAATAACGGGAGAAGACCAAAAGCCTGTGCGTAAATTTTTCACATCCCGCGAACGGAACCCTCTGTCCGGGAGGAACAACTCGGTCTGTAAAGGGACAACTCCGGCCGCTCTTCTCTTAACAAACGGAAGAGCTGTGAAAGAGCGGCGAATTACCGAATGCATATTAGCGCGCGATGGGCCGTTTAAGAGCGCGTAGTCAATCTCTCCGACGGACGTTTATGGAGAAGGAATTAATATAACCGGACCTTCAACTCTCTCTTTTCAGACCTTCGCCAATGATATATGCACACGACTACTCCACCTCCAAAGGCATCCTTCTCTTCTATTATCTTTTAACATGCTTGAGAATACCGAAGCTTTGTTAAGAATCGAATAGACTGGTAATTGCAAAGTCGCAATTGCAGATTAGCTTCCTCTTTTGTCTCGTGACTTAATTAAAGTTAAACTGAGTTTAAATATATTAATTAGCACTTAATGTGAATAAAACAAATACACAAGAATTGCTTAAGTATCTACACGCGTTTTTTGTGAGAAAATAATTTCTCAGATTGTATGTAATTCTAAAAAAAAAAATAATAATAATATTAAATTTAAAAGCGTGCAAAAGCAGCGCGTTTATTTACACGATTGCTATCCAGTAATTTTACGTAAGAATATTTAATGTAGGTGTGTGAATATATTTTGGTCGCAACATAACTTAAGATATTACCCCCTCGATTGTTTTCTAATTTTTAAACAATTATGACTTAAGGCCCGTTAAAATTAATAACAAGAAATATATAAGGCCTTATACGAGCCAATCCCAGGATGTTGAACGGAAACTGTACGTGTATATACATCGAAAAACTTATATTTTCGTAAGTAGAAGATTTTATAATTAAAAAATCTTCTTAAAGATTTTAGATGATATTCTTCTGAAATTAAGAATATATTTTTAATTTAAGAATATAGTCTTTTTCGATAGTGAGATACATATGTGTTTCTATAGAGGCTTTTTATATTCTAATCAGTATATATTCTTATCAATATTACTATTTAGAGGATTTTCCTCTTAAAATAAGAAACTCTTCTTGGCGCCTATTTTAGTATAAAATATACTTAAAGTAAGTGGGATATCTCCTCAAAACAAGAATACAATTTTTTCGGTGTATATATATATACACAAGTAACGAATTCAACTTGTAAATTTTTACAAGTGAGTGTTTTTAGAATTGAAATCTCAATTCTTAAATTCATACGGGATGCTGGATTTTTGCATCTCACATATGAGAGACCCCGGATATCCCCCTAACTAAGTTTTAAAATTTACAAGTTGAATTCGTTACATGTGTATATATATATATATACACGTACAGTTTTCGCTCAACATCCTGGGAATGGCTCTTATATATTTCTTGTTCTAATTTTTAGTTGTGCTCTAAACTTTTACACAATGTTTAAAAACTCGATCTATATGAACTCCTGAATTTTTTTCAGATTTTTGTATCATACAGTTTTTGAGAAAATCGAAAACGAAATTTCGCGTGATTTAACGTGGAAGTGACAGGGAGAACGAGGAAATCACGTGCATTTACTTAAATATCTAAAGTTCAAATTTTTAGATCTGGCTAAGAATATCAGGGGAGACTGGGGCTGATTGTGACACGGGTAAAAAGCTTACAAGCTTTGATTAGTGATGAAAATTAAGTGCTACGTTAAAGCTAAAAAGAGACAAACGCGACAACTGTCACGCGCGTCACACGCGTCATTAACATCATTGTTGTTGCAATTATTTTTCATCGCTAATTTAAGGTTGTGTAACTTTTTACCCGTGTGTGTCACAACCAGACCCAGTCTCCCCTACTACAGCTTCTTCAAACTATAAAGAAAATATGGGTGAAAAATCAGACGCCTGTATCGTACAGTTTTTTTTTAGTAACAATTAAAATAACACAGAAAAAACGAGCGATTTTATGATTAACGCACGAGAAAGAGCGAGCGTTGGCCACTTCCTCGATCGGAGTGAAGTAGAACTATCTTCAAAAATAATAAAACAGGTCAATTAAACGAGCAATGTAAGGTGTTATTTATTAAATTAAATTAAGTAAAGCCGCGATTTTATTTTTGTTATTTTTTATATTGCGAGCGTATCATCATTAATTATTTTAGAACTATCTTCGTTCTCCCGCGCCCCCGCAGGGACGTGAGGGTAATACCTTTAAGAAAAAAACTTAATTAAAATGACAAAATTGTGTTGCCTGAATGAAACTAATTTACAATATCGTTTCTCTGTCGCAGGAAAGAGTTTCAGCATTACCATTACCGTGTCAACGACGCCGCCCCAAGTAGCGACGTACACGAGGGCGATTAAGGTGACCGTCGACGGACCGCGGGAGCCGCGATCGAAAACGAGTAAGTGGATCATGTGACACTTTATGAGCGCAACGCTTTCGATCGCGACGAGAGATCTATTCTGCCGCACCGCGCCGCGCGCGCTCCGGGGGATTCCCTGAAAATTTACCCCGATAATTCAACGAAAGTCCCTGCACGCGCGGTAATGGGGAGTCATTACCGAGCAGATGGTGCGCGATGATGCAGTGGTCGACGTGCGTATTTCGCGTTCGGGTGCGTGTTTCGGGTCGGGACTATTCGCGCACCCACCCACACACGTGCACACGCGAAACGCGCGCGCACACGGGAGAGACAATGCTTTTACAAGCGGAGGTTTCGTGCGCGCCCGATACGCTTAACTCACTTACGCTAATTTGCCGCGAAAACCCCCGAAAAAATTGCTAAAAACATTCTGTTGGCGAACTCATTATCGGTCGGCCGAAATTGATAGAATCACGCGAAACTCAAGTGAGAGAGAGAGAGAGAGAGAGAGAGAGAGAGAGAGAGCAGAAGGGTGGCTTATATTCCGAGTCTCCAATTTTATAAACTTCGCGACTGCAAATTCGTTTCCCTCCTCCGCCCGCCGTATATCCGTCGAATCGAAAAGGAGATGTCGCGCGCTTGTGCGCGCGCTTCGACGTTCAAGCGCCCGACACCTATTTTCGGATGCATTCGCGGCGAATAAAAAAAAAAAAAAAATGGTCGTTATTTCGATATCAGATTAATAGCCGTTGCGGAGTTAACCGCGAAAACGCGGCAATTTTTTGCGGGCGTTTCGCATTTGTTGTATAAAGTATTGATGGTAGCAGGCACCCGCCCCGCTGTGTGTTTTTTTTTTTTCGAAATGGTCGGGCGTGATTGATTTTACTGATGTTTTTACTGCTTGACTCCCGCGACCCGCGTGACGGGAGCGAGACCAGGTGCAAAAACGCGTGAAGCTCGTCAATTTTCCAGCCGGCATAAAGTGCACTTAACGGTTGAGTTAAAAGTTTCAAGTCGCGCGCCTCTAGTCTCTTTGCGGCGTTTAACAATTTTAAAAATGCACTGTGATTCTCTCTTTTCCACCCCCCCACGAAAGTTCGTTTTCGAACGCGCGATCACAATTTCACTTTTCTTAATTTTGTATTAGCAAACACAAATCTAATATTTGCGAATAAAATTTATTCAATTCTCACGAAAGAAAATAATCAAATATTGCCTTTCGACCGTGTAGCATAATTTTATTATTTAATGATCGATCTAAATAAAATTAATCTTCGATCAGACCTGTTAGAAACAAAAAAAGAAATGCGTAAATAATTTGCGATATCGCGCGCTTTTTTTTATTTTTATGTTTATCTTGTTGACAAATTTGCAGCAGAGGGAGGAACTTTCGCTTTTAACGAGAACGGCGTATTTAAATCGTGGTTTAAATCGTCGTTCGGAGCGGGAGCCGGACGTCGCGTCGCCGACCTACTGGCTCTTTCTTAGCCGAAAAAGACGACGCGCACGAACGTAATTGAACAAAACAAAGCGTGTCACGTGGCATCATTGGCCACGTCGCGGAATAGAACACGCATATGACGAGACATATTGCATACACGGGTTTTTGGCATCGCCGGGGCGATGGCGTGCCTCATCGCCCGGCACGCACCCGGAGAGACAATCTATGCGGCAACAACCGGCGTTTTATATAACGCGAGCGCCGTCGTGCAAAAACAACCACCGCCAGCGGCCTTTTATTGTCCTGCCAACAATGCGCGACGCTCAAGCGCCCCGCAGACACCTGCCAGTCTCTCATTATTGCGCGCGCATAATCGCAAGCTTTTTGTTATCGAAAATCATCCCTCCGCGTCGCGCACACACTCCGTGTGTGTGTGTAACGTCCGTAAAACGACGACGGGCAACCGGTAATCGGGCAATTTTCCGTAATTCGCCCACTTCGCAACGCGCGAAAGCGCTCTTTAAAAAAATAGGAAGTTCTTCCGTTCTCCTTGGAAGAACACGAGCAAATCCGGCGGGAGAAATACAATTTTTTCTTTCTCTCGTTCTCTATCGAGAATACGAGATGTGAAAAATACGTAATGTATGCAATATATTTCGCACCGAACATATACTATGTATCTACTTTTGTTAATGAATTTTTAATATATATTTTTACATCTGTTTTTAACGCTCGATATCGACCTTAATCATAGAATTTCTTTGTTTTTACAACACGAGCGAATTATATTTTATCTCGTATATATATTTGGTCGAAAAGTATTTCTTTTTTTTTTTGATAGAGTTGTGCGCACGGATGAGTTGTTCGGAAAAGATTATTAGAATAAAAAAAAAAGTCACGATAAAACGTCAACATTTTATTAGACGGATCATTGGCGACAGAGTGTTTTGAGTAATTTGCGAGTTGTCAATAACCGAAACATCGACAACGTAATGCGGAGGGCGGGGGGAGGGAGGGAGGATATGAATCGAGAGCGGTGCGGATAAATCGGGAAAGGGAGAGGGAGGGGAAAGAGAGAGAGAGAGAGAGAGAGAGAAGAGCTCGCGAAACAAAGTGGCCGCCGCCCGTCACCGTAACCCAAAATCATCGAAATGCAAGCGGAGCGAAACGAATATCGGACGGATGGGTGCTGTCACTCAAAGATCGAAATTGAATTTGCGTTTTTTTTCCCGTAATTGTCCCGCTGTGGAATGTTGGTCTATTATTAGAGCAGCGCATATCGTCAACTCGCAAAATGATTTCTCGGTTTTAACACGCGATCGTTCCGATAAAAACAAAACAAAACAAAAATACTTCTCGTTCTCGAATAATTTTGTTTAACGACAAAAGACTTTGTTTAACGACGTCGCCATATTTTTTTGGAGGAACGGGCGAGATATTTCGGATCGGTGAAATACATATGTACACGACGCGAATGCCGATTCCGGACGATGAGAGAGAAAACGATCATCGTCGTCGGTTTCTTTCGCCGCGAGATCGAAGTGCAAGTTTTCGCTTTATATATATATATATATATATATATATATATATATATATCTATATCTGCAAAATCGCGCGCGTACCCGCCAATCGACGTGCCCTTAAATGTAGTTTTCGAGAAAACCGATAGCGCGACGAAAGGAATCCACGATACGAAGCAATTTCGACGGTCGGTGGACCGTCAATCAAAATGTTAAAATTGGAACGGCGCGGACCTACCTACTTCGCGATTGGATTTCCTCGCGTGGCCGGATCCTCTTGATCCCGATACCGGTTTCAGAGGAAAAGGCCTCTATCGGCGCCCCGAAAAGTCCGATTAAAGACCACCTCCTCCCTGATAAAGTCCGGCGTCCGAGAAGTGAGAGCCCGATCTCGTGAGGCTTCCGCTTGAGAATACACGCTCCGCTGAATAGCAGCCGCCGGAAGAAGAATTTTACTCGCGACAAATCGTCGCGACGATCTGAAATCGAAAGCGGATGTGCGCAGATGATACCGCGAAACACGTTAACGCGAAGAAATGAGGAAAAAAAAAGAACATTTTAGAAGAGAGAGAAAGAGAGAGAGAGAGAGAGACAGAGAGAGAGAGAGAGAGAAAATAAAATTCTAACGAAAACGCGTTGCGCCGGTCTGGTAACTGGCGTCAAGGAGGACGTAAGACGGGCGGAGGGAGGGGCTCCTGTTATTAGAGAGGAGGAAAAAGCCGCGCTATTTCCGTCCTCCCGGGACCCGCCACACTTTGATTAGATAAGCCCACCACTCATGCCACTCGAGATTGGAATTATATATTGTTCTCTCCGTTTTTTTACCTTCTTTCTTTCTCGCTCTCTTCTCTCGCTTATCTGCGCTCCGGAGAGGCAATTGACGAAGGTGTTATATACATCACCGTTCTATTCTTTTATTTATTTTAATTAAGCATTTTTTTTTTTTTTGGTTCATACACGCATACGCGCATGCACGTGACTGGCGCGATTTCGCGCTTCGCGATTGTCGCCAGACAATTGCGTTTGTTAATAAGCTCCGTAATTAAGTTCCTTGCGCGCGAAAAGAATTCCGAACGTATATACGTCGCACATTCAGTGTCGAAGTAACATACGGTAGCGAATCGATTTTTTTTTTCAAATTTGTCAAAAATATAATTTCTCTACGTATGCATTTTCTCAAACAAAAAGCTCTGTTGTTCGATCTCCTTCGCGAATATAAAGTTCGTATAAAACAAAAGAGCAGACATCGAGAGATAAACTCATCGCTGCGTAACGCTTCGTACATTCGGGGGCATTATCGTAGCGTTCGGTATATACGTGGGAAGTCGTGGGATCCTCGCGGGGCCCTTGTACACGGGACGACCCTCTTCTTCTCTTGTGTAGCAACCTCGTGGCGCGGGCCGATGATCGTGATAGTCGGTAGCAAGGAATAATCTTGTAGGCATCGGTCAAGAGCACCGGAGCTGACCATCTGGGCTCGCCGACAATTTCGTGCAGTTTGCGGTCGAACTTTATTTGTCGTTCGCCCTCGTGTGGCCGGTGGAGGTGTCTCTCTCTCTCTCTTTCTCTCCTCTTTTATCTCGCTTCTCCGTCTTCGTTCTTCTCTCGCCTCGCCTCCGTCTCTCTTTCCTTTTCCATCCTTATCTCCCCTCCCCCCTTCTTCACCTTCTACTCGCGAGAAATAACAATTTGCGCCTAGGCTTCCCATTCTTGGTTCTGGCTTCTCCTCGATGCTGAAACCGTTGAGAGAGAAAAAGGAGAGGGAAAGACGAGAGAGAGATGCGCGCGGAACGAACGAGGCAAGGCAAAAATGTGCCACTTCTATTGCTTACGGGTGATGGGTGGACGGATTCTGGAGATTCTGTTGTCGCTTTAAGAGATGTATATATATATAGATCTATATACATAGATCTTGCTATATATATAGATATAGATATAGATATAGATATAGATTGCTATATATATAAATCTATATATATATATAGATTTATATATATACATCTTGCTATATATATAGATCTTGCTATAGATATAGATATAGATATAGATTGCTATATATATAAATCTATATATATATATATATATATAGATCTATAGATCTTGCTATAGATATAGATATAGATATAGATTGCTATATATATAAATCTATATATATATATATAGATCTATAGATCTTGCTATAGATATAGATATAGATATAGATTGCTATATATAATATATATATACACGCAAATAATAATATTGGCAGTTTGCGGAAGCAGAAACTTCCGGCACGTTAAAAAACGATACGCTGCGTTGAAATTTTATCTAACTTACTTCTTAGTAAAAAAAAAATACGTAATGCTTGTGTATTGCTAAAAAATACACAATACGTAATTTTCATTTGAACTTTTTCTTATTCCGCGTGTCAAATGTATTCGGTCTTCCATCTCGTCTATGCATTTCCGATTGATTACGGAGTGATGCGTGTGCCGAGATCGAGTCATGTGCATTGTCGCGTAACAATATGTATCAAGCGTTTACCAGAATCCGGCATATTAGGGGAAATCGGAGTATCTACGTTATGTACACGCCACGATACTTGGCTCGAGATTCTGTCTCTATTCACGAGGTCCCGGTTATGCGAGGAATGCTATTGAAGTCTATCGAGGGAAGAGAGAGGTCGAGTTTCTTCATTATCCCGCTTTATTGGGTTAATGACGCAGACACGCGCGCGCTGGTCAATCTCCCACGAGATTTAGGGATTCCACGTGTTCGAATCGCGTCAAAGACTAAACTAATATAAAATTTCGCGATATGTATTGCATTTCGCGGAGAAATATTTTAATGTGTGTGTGTGTGTGTGTTTGTTTGTTTTTTTTTTTTTTTTTAAGTCTTTACTGGTCTTCTTCGCGACGTAATTTGTTGCGTATCGAAAGAAAAAAAAATCGATTTAAATCGTTTATTAAGTCTCGCTCTGTGTCTGTATAATACTATACAAGATCGAAGTACTCAAGATTGCAAACAAATTCGTGAGATCTACATATGTGCACATCATCGCACATTGTGCATAATTTATTTTCAGGACAGCAACATCAGCAGTTTCGCGCCCTCGGTCTGGGACAGAGACCTTTCCTCGACGCGCCAACCTCGTTCAGGTCCCACTTGCGAGAACTCGAGTCCTTCGGAAGGAATAAGCATCACCATCATCACAACAGCAGTCACTTACACGACCAACAGACCGGCAACAACGTCACCACGAATTCGGTTAGCGGTGCCTGCACCAACCCCAACAACACCGACCCGACCGCATCGCCGGCTTCCAGTACACACCTCGGGGCTACCGGCGGCTCTTCCGCTCATCAGGATTGCTACAAACGTAGTCCTCAACACGGCGGTGAGTTCTGATTCCGCAGTCGCTTTTTTTTTTTTTTTTTTTTTTTTTTTTTGAACGGAAGTCAGTTTGATCTGTTTCGTATGCAAAGCGATGACACGTAATCATCTTTTCTCATCTTAGTGCGTTTTATAAATTATCGTATTAAGATACGCTTTAATTAAGAGACTTGTCTTTTAATACGTTAAAAAACCGAGTAAACGTATTAAAAATTTATTATCCTTAATATCACTCAATTTTTGTACACGTTCTTTTTCGATACAAAAGAAGAAGAAGAAGAACAAGAGAGAAAGAGAGAGAGAGAGAGAGAGAGAAAATTTCGAATTATTTAATAATACATAGTTTTGTTTGACGTACACATTTCGAAAGATAGACATCACATTTTCACAGAGATTTGCGCTTGTTTGCATCATAGTAGAGGTTTACGTAGTGCTCGGCCTAAGTGCTAAGTAGAAACATCTTCTGCTCTATTTGCTCCTTTAGTTTGTGATGGATATTCGTGATGCGGCTATCATCATCTCGCGCTCTCTTCGCACAGCATCCTCGTGCCTCGTGAAAGAGAGAGAGAGAGAGAGGGAGGAAGAGAGAAAGAAAGAGAGAGAGAGAGAGAGAGAGAGAGAGAGAGAGAGAGAGNAGAGAGAGAGAGAGAGAGAGAGAGAGAGAGAGAGAGAGAGAGCAGCTCGAAAATATGCACTAACCCCACCCAACCCTTCGTTGCGGAAGGGTGAAGACAGAAAGAGAAAGAGAGAAAGAGAGAGAGAGAGAGAGAGAGAGAGAGAGAGAGAGAGAGAGAGAGAGAGAGATTATGGAAGGAAAGGAGAGTTTTAGAGAGGAAGGGAAGGAGAGGAGACCTCTGCCGTTTCGCGAGGTAATAGTTTCATACCTCGTTCCGGCTCTGCACCCTCTAATTCAACGTAATAACGACATTCAACCTGCCGTTTCCATCTCCCTTCCACCGCCGATCTCGCCGATGCACCGTTGCGTCGCCGTGCACGAGGAAAAAGTGTCCTCTCCTCGCGGAGAGAGAGAGAGAGAGAGAGGACGTTATCGGTCGCAACAAAACTTTCAAAAAGTTCTCATTGCTACAAGAGAAATTTTCCCGTAACGTAACGTAACGAACATTTTCCATCCGGATGAAAATTCTTTCTTCCGTCGATAAAAATAGTCGGGGGGTCGTCTTCTTCAAACAGCGCGTTTAAAATTACAACAAGTTCGGTTACATCTGCCCGGTCTCTCGGGCAAAAACCGAACCGATTTTCTTCGCGCGACGGTACGATACGCGCGCGCGCGCGAGCCCCCCGCTAGCAATAGAGTCTCTGTCTCTCGACATTTCGCGTTCGACTATCTCGAGATAATTTAGGACGCAAAAAGGCGGGAAGGTCGAGGCAAGGCACTTTATTTCTGCACGGCTCGTCTCGCATCAGCGGTCTCGACCTGATCAAAGTTAAGTATACGCGCCCCTGACTGGCGAGAGACCTCTTTGAAGCTACGTTGCGGTTTCTCTTTGCCCTAATCTCCTTCTCTCCGCCGCCCCCTCGTACTTCCCCGTACGTCGCGCGCGCGCGCGATCGGGTCCTCCTTCGTCACCTTCCAAAACGAGACTTCTCTCGTCACACCCTCGTGACACCTTCGCGAATATATAGATCGACCGTTGTCGAAATTAGCTCGTTTATATTTCGCTCAAAGTTTCAAAGAAAGTTTCTCTCTCGCTTCTCTTCAAAAAGAACGCGCGCGGCGGCGCTTTCGCGGCGAGACTCGCGAGACGTTAAACGGAGTCCAAGAAAGATCATCATCCAAAAGGTACCAAAATGTCCAGGCTCCGGTGGCCAACCGATGGATTTTTTCAGTTCCACCCGCATGAATGGATGTAATCTCGTCGGGATATTCCATTTACCCCCCGCTCATTCACATTCGACACTTCTCTTTCCTTCTTCGCGTCTCTCTATAATGAGCAGTTTCGAAAACTTCGATGCGCGTTTCGGGCTCTCTCGAGCGTGGTGCGAAATGACCGAGCGCGCGTTGGCGGATGCAATTTTCTTACCTTCTGTCAGACTCGAAGAGAAGAACAGAGAAAGAGCGAGAGAGAGAGAGAGAGAGAGAGAAACCTAGCCTATCCCCGTTTCGTCCTTAGCAGCTCCTTCGCGTCTTCGGGATAACTCTCTTTTCACCCGGTTTGAATCTCTCTCTCTGCCGACGGCTCACGCCCGACGTGCTCGTGCACTCACGTACGACTCACGTGCACGTCTGCGTAATACCAGGTATCGATCGGTCGCTTCTCGATCGATCCCCGGCGCTGGATCCGTGTGTTGTTTTTGCTCTTCGCTCGCGCGACTCTTCCTTTTATCTTCTGCCTCGCTTCGCTTCGGCGACGTTACTTGAATCGAACCCCCTATTCGCCGCCTTTTCCCCTTCGCCTTGTCTTCTTCTTCTTCTTCTTCTTCTCGCGAATTGCTTTCTAAATCTCCTGTACGTGCCGGAAAGTTCTGTAAGAAGCGGTGAAATCGTAAAAAAAAAAAAAAAAACAAATTCCGTCATTTCGCAAATATGACGGCAAAAATACAGAGAGCGTGTAAAACTGCGCGTGAAATTGATAGAATTTATATAAACGTTTACGGTTTAGCTTAGAGAAGAAACGCAACGTGGAAAAGAAATATCATGTGCGTGAAATTAGGTCACACACAGTTGTTTTTTATATTCGCACAGAGAGAGAGAGAGAGTTTTTTTCTCCGCGCGCGTAATTTCTACAATTACTTTTTATTTTTTTTTTTTTTTACGCAATCTCACGTGTAAATTTCAAGGCACAAATTCTCCCGCGCGTATATACGCGCGCGCTTCGCGTCTCTTCGCCGAAAGGGTAAAACGCCACGTCGGTCGGTCGGTCGGTCGGTCGGTTGGTCGGGAGGTCCCCTCGTCGGGTGGAGAAAAAAGGGAAGAAGCGAGCATTATTTCTGTCTCTTATAATATAACCGTGTCCGTTTCTCGTCTCTTCCTTGCCCCGCGCCGAGTCTCATTTCGAGTCGTGATCGGGGTAATGAGGCCCCGCGCGCGGCAGCGGCAGCGGACCGAGGTAGGTGATGCGAGAAAGAGAGAGAGAGAGAGAGGGAGAGGACGGGAGAGAGGAGAGGAGCGGATCCTCAGGTGGTATCAACGTGAAAGGAACGGTTGAGGACTCTTGCGTTTGCCTGATGCTTAGACCAGGAAGAGGAGAAACGCGCGGGCGGAAGGGGGGGGTGAGGCAAAACGAACGGAGAAGCCACGATGTTGGCGTACGGTGGTAGGGGTAAGGACGCTGATTATGGGGTGTCAAACAATCATGTTGATTGTATATTTCTGTGCTGACTCCTTCTGTCTGCCTCCACGTCTACGTCTCGTATAGGCCGCGCTGCAACCAGCGGCAAACTCTTGTTTCCCGTCCTCTCGCGCGTCGTCCTCGTCGTCGTCGTCGTCGTCGTCCTCTCGCGCACAGTCGCTCCTTTTCTCGCTTTTCTCCTGTGGCGAAAGATTCGTTCGGGAGAGAGTGAGATCGGTGCCCGGTGTTGCCTTCTAACAGGTTCACCGTCGGAGAGAGAAATGAAACCCCGCGTTTCTCTCTATAAAGGCGCGTCATGGCGCGGTTTACGAGGAGGAAGTTATTTATCCGGCTAAGATAAACGAACGGTGTCGAGTGTAAAATTAGAAAAATTTATACCGGACGGAGAAGAACGGATGAGAGAAGCTACTACTCTCCCGCTCTGACCTTTCCGTCTATCTTCGGGAGAGAAACGGCGTTGTTCGGTAAATAAACGCGACAATTGAAAAAAAATTCAAACGAATGTATAATTCATCGACGACTCTCTTTTGATAAGAAGACAATCGTCATCTCACCGCGTCGCAATCGTTAAATTCGTCGTATTTTTTTTTTCTCCGCGCGAATGACCGGCGATTTTTACGCGCGGCCAGTTTACCGGATGGTTAAGGTTAAGAAGCGTGTAATTCGCGTTGCGAGCTCCGGTCCCCCGATGCGCGCGAAGAATCCAGAAGCAGCTTGTCGCGAGTTAGCGAGAGAGAAGGGGGGTTATCTCTCTCTCTCTCTCTCTCTTTCATATTCCTCCTCTTCGCCGGCTATATTACTCGCCAGCGAGAAAGAGACAAAGAGGCCGCGGCTGCAACAACCGGCCGGTCTGTCCCGGGTCTTTGCCTATTTACAGCGGGGATGCTCGTGCTTTACCTAGAGAGAGAGAAGATTTTATCCAAAAAGACGAGACGAGAGGGAGAGCGCGCGCTTGTGCGCCACCGCGCGCACTTGGGTCCAACACACCAACGACCCAACGGGGGCCCACCGATCTTGCGATTCCCACGTGCCTTCGGACACACAAGGCAAGCTACCAAGAATGCGGCTACCTTTCTGGCTGTTCTCTTCGTGGATTTTTTTCTACCTACTGATTGTCCCGCCGTGAATCTCGGTACCCGCACACCTCTCTCTCTCTCTCCCTCCCGGCCTCTCTCCGTCGGTACTTAGAATGCTGCCGACGCGGCCTTAATGGAGAGGCCTCTAGTGCGTGCTTGTACGAGATTATTACGCCTCCTTGTGTGCCTCGCTACTACTTGCTGCAGCTGGCACTCTTACTTTAAACGTTACTCCTGATGTTCACCCTGAGAACGGCACGATCTTATCCGTGTACGCATTATGTAGCGGATTCCGTTTCCAATATCTCATTTTCAACCGACATCCGATATCCGACTACTGCCGTAAATCCGGTGGCGGACACAGTCCGCCGATTTTGATTTTCTCGGGAAGTTGTTGAAAGTTTTTCGATAATTTCAACGAGAAAAAATTTCATTTCTCTTTTTTATATACTATTAAATAATTTTATGTACAAAACAAACATATTCTCGCTCGCGTTGCGCAACGTGTGTTGTAAATTATATGCTTCACGTTCTCTGCACAGGTGCGCTTATTTTCTACAAATTGATCGTTTTTATGACACAACGGGACGCGCAAGTTCACAACGTCCGGTTGTTGT